TTCATCCTCTGCCTGCGACGAGGGACTACTGGCGCGTTACGTCGTTGTACAACGGAAACTATGCACGCTGCATGATTCGAACCTACCGGAGGTACTTAGCGCTGATGTGCTTCATCAAGATTGTGGACTTCAGGGCAGAGGATATAAATGATCGACTTCGTAAGGTGCGATACCTTCACGACCATCTGCAGGCGGCCTGCAAGCGTTTGTTCATCCCTGGCAAGTGCGTTAGTGTTGACGAGCGCATGGTCAAGTGCAAGGGACGCGCTCCTTTTACGCAGTATATGCCCAAAAAGCCTGTCAAATGGGGCTTCAAGGTCTTCGCTGCCTGCGACGCCCAAAGCTCCATTGTTGTAAACTTTGAAGTTTACACAGGCCAGCAACCTGGAGGTGAAAATGGCCTGACTCATGCTGTGGTGATGCGGCTGGTCAGTGACGTGCGCGCCGGAAGTGTGATCTACACGGACAATTTTTACACTTCCGAAACCCTGGCCACATCTCTTCGTACCAAGCAAATATCGTTGGTTGGCACCGTCCGCGCGAACCGCACTGGATTTCCAGCCGTATTGCGGACCGACATGAAACAGTTCGAGAAACATGCAGAGCGAGGTGCAACACGCTATGTTCGCAACGGAGATCACCTGTACCAGCAATGGAAGGACAAGCGGTGTGTGTCAATGTACAGCAACATACATCAGGGCCATGAGCATGACACAGTAACAATAAATGTCAAGATTGATGGTGCACACCAGCAAATGGAAGTGCAGAGGCCAATGTGCATCAGAGACTACAACAGCAGCATGGGTGGAGTCGACACGTTCGATCAGCTGATCGAAACGCACCGTGTGCTTCGCAAAACGAAGAAATACTGGAAGAGTCTCTTCTTGGATATGGTCGACGTGTGCGCTGTCAATGCATACCGCCTCTTTCACTTGTGGCAGAGCCAGCATCCAGGGGTGATAAGTCGACGATGCAACTTGCAGCACTCGGATTTCCGCTGTAACCTCATCCGGCAGCTGTCATCGATTGATGAGCATGCACCGCCACCGAAGCGCTCGTATCGCCCAGTGCCTGTTCCGCAGGATGTCCAGGTTCCTGTTGCTCAGCTTCACATACCTGGAGTGAGGAAAAGGAAGAACTGCAGAAACTGCACAGAAGTGGGTAACAAGCAGCACCAGTGTGTAACCTACTGCACTACGTGCGATGTTCACCTCCACATCACGAGCGACCACGACTGCTACGCCGCTTACCATGCACGCCACTTCCCGTGAAGGATATCTTATCTCAGTGCTGTGAGTTTCTATCTTGTCTACTGTATATTTGTACATAAAAGTATGGTTTCATTTCCTTCCTATGGTGCGCTCTGTAAATAACGCGGCTATACACTTGATTATGACAATATGTGCCTAATATGGCAACATTGGTAACCATGGCAACATTCTAACATAGTTTTTTGGATTCAGCCGAACGATTCCATTCAGAAAAACACAACTTCTAATTACATATTCTCAAAAACTGTGGAGTTACAGGGGATTATTGTCGGAATGGAAAATTTGGTCATTTTCTCCGAAACCAGTGGACTCACAAAGGGTTAACATGACTCTTGACTGTAGAATGCATTTCTACATGGTCAATATTGGTCAGATGGCCGTGAAACGAAGTCACAATACTCTACAACGGCTAGACATCAATTTGCAATAAAAAAATCAATTTCACCAAAACAGCCCCGAAGGTCGATTTTCTCAGATATTGGGCCATATGGTAACTGCGTGCTGCATGTAGCAGGCGTATCGGGTTGCCCGGTGAGTGCAGTGTGCACCTGCAGACGTGTACGGCAGTGCATACGTTGCATATGTTTGCACGTGCCAAAGGTAAAAAAGGACATGCCTATGTATACTTAACATGAGGAAATGAGCAGTAGGAGTCTGTGATGAGTGCTAACAAGGGTTAACTGCATTAACCCCACATCATAGTGAGTTGGGCACTACATTTGTGGAGTACGAAAAGGACGACGGCATATTATCCAGAGACAACAATGGACAACGGGAATAGTTAGATGGGACAACATGTATTAGGGAGACGAAGTGACAGAGACCAAGACGAACGAAACGACTACATTGTGGCAGAGAGAGACAAGAGCTAGAGATCAAGTGTGAAGATAAAGGGCCTGGGTAGGTATGGCAAATATGGGCGCGCAAGTAGCTACCCAGGCCAACAGAACAAAAAAGTGGCAAAAGGAGAAAAAAGGTGAATACGACGTAGTATGGGGTGCATGCAGGCCAGCTTGGAAAAGGTTGTACTTGAGGAGGTACCTAACACACCTCCCCTGCGCAAGAAATAAATAAATAAAGAACAAAGTATTCCAGAACGTTTTCTTGTCACAATTATCAATGGAATTTGTGACTAAAGAGAATGATGAAACTACAATAGGACTTATACACTTGGAGTGAAACAGCGAGGATACAAGCATAGTAAGAAATATAGCACAAACCTAGGAACAATTTGCACAGGTAATAAACTATAGGTGAGGTGAGAAATGATAGGAAATTCAGCAAGTGCAGTGTGACAATAGACATGCATGTGCAAGTGTGTGTGAGTGCGAATTTACTGGAATAGCGTAAGTGCGGTGACATTTTCTTTTTGTTTACAAAGATTTGGATCACGGATGCGAATGTAGACTGCTTCTAGAACTTTCAACTGCTTGAAACTACTTGCAGAACGAACAACACTGAACCAAGAATCATCATAACTTTCACGACACACGGGGTTAGACAACAAATGCAATTTAATTGCCGAAGTATTCTTCTTCTTCTCACCGCTTCCACCTTCACTTGGTTTCTGACCGCCACCGTCCTTCACACCATCTGCACCATCATCGTCATCATCGTCATCGTCCTCTTCATCATCGCTGCCACCTTCACCTGTCGTCGGCTCTCCCAGCAACTGACCACCGTGTTCCTCATCGTCACTGCACACATCGCTTCCACACTCCTCCTCCAGCTGCCGTCGCGTTCTCTTCCTGACCGGTCTTCCCTTGCCATTGCCAAACACCTGGCAGTCGTCAACTCTTCCGCTGGCATCATCCATATCCGGAGAGTTTCGATGCATCTTTCCAGTAACCTCTGCAAACCGAGCTGCCGCCAGCCGTTTGCTCCTTCTCAGCTTTGGTGAGTTGCGGTTGTATGCGTCCGGCGTACTATTCCAGTAAATTCGCACTCACACACACTTGCACATGCATGTCCATTGTCACACTGCACTTGCTGAATTTCCTATCATTTCTCACCTCACCTATAGTTTATTAACTGTGCAAATTGTTCCTAGGTTTGTGCTATTTTTCTTACTATGCTTGTTTCACCATTCTCTTTAGTCACGAATTCCATTGATAATTGTGACAAGAAAACGTTCTGGAATACATTATTCGTCCCCATGGTTGTGATATGAGTGCGCATTTAGTTATATTCATTGCATTATTAAGATTATTGTTTCCACATCGCCTTTTTACAAAGAACAAAGTGTCTGTATTGTTTGCTGCAAACAGTGGTCAATACCTCAAAAAGGGGCAGAGCTTACCACACAGGGAAGAACAACAGTGACCAAAATCCTTCTCGTGACTCCGAGTTTCGTGTTTCAAAAAACACTCATCAGACGATAAACCATAATGATGCTATTCGCTAGTTATCTAGGGTGATTGTAAGGTGATTGTACCGTAGACTAAGGCAGTGCCGCAACCACGAAGCTTGAGGGGATAACATCAGCACTAAAATACACTGTGCGTAATATGAGAAATAAAGAAAATAGCTGACCTGCAGGACTTGGACGAGACGAGATTGACATTGAAGAGACGAGGTTGACATGGACGAGACGAGGTTGATATAGATGAGACGAGGATTCCTGAGGACAAGACGAATGGCAGTTGAGGACTACTGTGCATGGGATATCATGCTCTACCGACTGAGATAGCCGGCAGAGAGAGACAAGACCTAAAGATCAACTGTGAACGAGAAGATAAAGGGCCTGGGTGGCTATGACAAATATGGGCGGCCGCGCACAAGTAGCTACCCAGGCCAACAGAAGAAAAGGTGACAAAAGGAGAAAAAAGGTGAATACGACGTAGTATGGGGTACATGCAGACCAGCTTGGAAAAGGTTGTGCGGGAGGAGGTACCTAACACATTTATATCCAATATAGATACTTTTCTGATGGATAACGCATAGGAGTGTCTCGTCATGTGTGTTACCTGTACACGGGCCGTCGACCTTCCTGTTCATTACGCTGCCTGTAAAGGACATCTGGAAGTCGTCAAGTATCTACTAGATCTCCAACCCGACACGATCTCTGTGAAGGGCAATCTCCATCATTGACTCTCCTTGCTGTAGTCAGTTACTCCTACGGCACTCTTCTTGCCAATGAGGACAACTGTACTAGCTATAATATAGCTAGCACAGTAGTCCTCATTATGTCAATTGCTGGGGAGTATCAGGCCGAAACAGCAACCCCACCGATTGATTTACTCCAAAGGTACCTGTGACTATTGGTGACTTTGCTGGCCGGCACTGATAGCTGCACAAAGCACCTCCATTATGCATTCGGTTCACATAAACATTGGTCTCAATCATTTCTGATGTAACCTCATGGACACACTCATCATCAATTCAACACCTGTCAACAGGTATGTTTTGGAGTGTGCAGAGATGTCCATAAAATGATTCAAAAGAGTTCTTAGTATTGTATACTTGCGCCCATCATATGCCCCTCAACCCACAAGAGGAATATTGCAACATTACTTTGGCTCAAAAAGAATGCAAACTAACCAATCTCATCCCCAGCGCTAAAGCATGTATTGGGTTTTTCCAGCACTAGCTTGTAAACAATTGACTTATCACTATGTTGTATATGAGACTGCCTCACTTCATAGTGGATTGTGCATTATACCCAGTATAAGTACTTTTCTGATGGATAACGTGAAGGAATGTCTGGTCATGTGTGTTACCTGTACACAGAACGGTGACCTTCCTGTTCATGACACTGCCTGGAAAGGACATGTGGAAGTCGTCAAGTATCTACTGGATCTCCAACCCGATACGATCTCTGTGAAGGGCATGGTAAGTTAAGAGAGCATGTCTGAGAATACCAAAGTATGTGTGCAAGTGGATCTCTTCGATTTCGCTCAAAATTTGCAGGTAGGTTCCCTTTGGGGTGTGGATCGATTGCGCAAAGCCCTTGAAAAGGTTTCTGAAGGGAACCTTGAAATTTGCATACCCCTCAAAAATGGCCGAAATATCACATTATTTATGGGTCTAGAAACGAGTCACGCCACAGCGTATCCGAACAAGCTATGAACAAAACTCCATCAAAACAACATTGCCTCACTTTAGAAGAGTTCCTGGAGCAGTACCGCTTAGCCACGCCAGGATCCCAGAACACGAGGTCCATCACCCCCTGACGCCACAAATGATCGTCTTGAAAATAGCCAATTTACAAGCGCTGGCAAAACAGCCAGCTACGTCCTCAATTGGCCAGAACTATACACCGGCAGATAGTAGAACACCTCTTCTAGCGCTGAGGACATGTCCCCCATCTTCCTTTTGGGGTTTTCTTGAAATAAACTTTTTTGAATTTTTCAACTCGACCATGCTGAAATACGGCCAATGTCATACCTGCGCAGGAAAGCTCGCCCCTCCGCGACGTCTCCTCAGCAATTTCTACTCTAACACTACTCCCAAGGCCGCAGAACAAAGTGTATTGTTGACTCTGACAAGGAAAAGCAGCGGTGATCACTTGTCACTGCAAACGACAAGCTTCTCCTTGCGCCACCAATAATTTTTTGTGCGACTGTTGATGCAAAAGTGACTGAAGTCCTGAGCGCAGTTTTTAAATTTTATTGCAAGATGCACGGTGAGATCGCGTGCTCTGTGACGTAGAATGACGCTTCCTGGATCACGACACGCGCCCATCGATCGTGAACGTGTCTGGAACGCTACTCAGAACAGACCATGATGGCAGAGGTAAGATGAGCTGTATTTCCTGCTTGATCTGCTGAGAACCCCCAGAAACTGTCCTAGGAGTGTTGCAATGGCAGCAAGCCGTTGAAATATGCCCCTCATACAGCATGCAGAGTTATTCATCTTTCACACTTACCTCCTGCAATCCCGAACATAGTCCAACAGTAAAAGTCCCTTGTTTTCATGTCGATGCTCGACGAAAGCTGCTAGCTGGGTCGCTTTGTGTTCACTGGCACGCGAGCAGCACTGGCTGCACGCACTTGTCGCGTGAACTGAATGACAGATTTCTTACGTCATAAAGAATGTGATTTCATCATCATTTCACTGGGCTTCGACCTACATGGTCAGGGAAAGTCCCGGTTCGTAGGCCTACAACACGGTCCGCGTGTTCTTGTGCGCAGTAACAACACGAGTGTGATCACTTCCAGACCGACGGGCGTTCAAGGCGAGTAACAAGCGCACTTTACGAAGGACATTAGCCAGGTGACTCTGAAATCTCGTGAGCCGTGATCCACGCGACTTGGCATTCTTGCGTCACAAGGCACGTGATTTCACCGTGCCTCTTGTAGTAAAATTCAAAAACTGCGCTCAGGACTTCAGTCACTTTTGCATCAACAGTCGCACAAAAAATTATTGGTGGCGCAAGGAGAAGCTTGTCGTTTGGAGTGACAAGTGATCACCGCTGCTTTTCCTTGTCAGAGTCAACAATACACTTTGTTCTGCGGCCTTGGGAGTAGTGTTGGAGTAGAAATTGTGGGAGGAGATGTCGCGGAGGGGCGAGCTTTCCTGCGCAGGTATGACTTTGGCCGTATTTCAGCATGGTGGAGTGGAAAAATTCAAAAAAGTTTATATCAAGAAAACCCCAAAAGGAAGATGGGGGACATGTCCTCAGCGCTAGAAGAGGTGTTCTACTATCTGCCGGTGTATAGTTCTGGCCAATTGAGGACGTAGCTGGCTGTTTTGCCAGCGCTTGTAAATTGGCTATTTTCAAGATGATCATTTGTGGCTTCAGGGGGTGATGGACCTCGTCTTCTGGGATCCTGGCGTGGCTAAGCGGTACTGCTCCTGGAACTCTTCTAAGGTGAGTGGCTTGATGGAGTTATGTTCATAGCTTGTTCGGATACGCTGTGGCGTGACTCGTTTCTAGACCCATAAATAATGTGATATTTCGGCCATTTTTGAGGGGTATGCAAATTTCAAGGTTCCCTTCAGAAACTTTTTCAAGGGCTTTGCACAATCGATCCACACCCCAAAGGGAACCTACTTGCAAATTTTGAGCGAAATCGGAGAGATCCACTTGCACACATACTTTGGTATTCTCAGTCATGCTCTCTTAAGCAATCTCCGTCATTGACTCTCCTTGCTGTAGTCAGTTTATCCTACAGCACTCTTCTTGCCAATGAGGACCACTGTGCTAGCTATAATGTCAATTGCTGGGGAGTATCAGGCTGAAATAGGTACCAAACCGATTATTTCCTGCAAAAGTACCTGTGAATATTGGTGACTCTGCTGCCCGGCACTGATAGCTGCACAAAGCACCTCCATTATGCATCCGGTTCACATAACCATTGGTCTCAATCATCATTAACTCTACACCCGTGAAAAGGAATTTGTTTGGGGTGGGCAAAGATGTCCATAAATGATTCGAAAGAGTTCTTAGTATTGTGTACATGCGCCCATCATATGCCCCTCCACCCACAAGAGGAATATTGCAACATTACTTTGGCTCGAAAAGAATGCAAACTAACCAATCTTGTACCCAGCACTAAAGCATGTAGTGGGGTTTTCCAGCTTTAGCTTGTAAACAGTTTTTCAATTGACTTATCACAATGTTATGCGTGAAACTGCCTCACTTCGTAGTGGATTTTGCATTTTACCCAATATAAGTACTTTTCTGATGGATAATGCATAGGAATGTCTGGTCATGTGTGTTACCTGTACACAGGACGGTTTCCTTCCTGTTCATTACGCTGCCGGGAATGGACAACTGGAAGTTGTCAAGTATCTACTAGATCTCCAACCCGACACGATCTCTGCAAAGAACGATGTAAGTTGAGCAATCTCTATCCCTGATTCTCCTTAAGCATTTTTCCAAAACACGGTTTGAGCAATATATTCGATCGCAACAAGTAGCATCTAGTCACTCGCGCCAGGCCAGAGCAACAGAACTTAACCTTACGGATTCCACCATCTGCCAGTAGAGTAGACCATGGCACACCATTCACTCTTGGGTCCATACAATGGCCCTCCCTACATACTAAAGTGATGTAAATATATTTCTTGGTGTATGTGTGTTTGTGTGTGTGTGTGTGGGGGGGGGGGGGGGGGGGGTGTGCGTGAGTGTGTGCGTGCGTGTGTGCATACAGCAAGTGTAGTCAACTCTCTTGGCCGTTCTATGCTGATGTACTCCGTGTTTTGTAGACCACGTGTGCATTGGTGTTCGATTCTCATGGCTTCACAGGTTGTGTTTATTCGGCAGTTATTAATTGCTAGTCTTGATCAGTATCATTCAGATCTTGTCCGCTGTCGTTGCTATAAGTGAAAATCTGTGGGTGCACCTCCAGTACATTTCGCAGATTTTCATGCTTCTCTTGTGAGGGTCGTGTGCTGCAAAACGGGTAACGTTTGGGACAATAAATGTTTGCGTTTTACAAATTGAGACTGGCATGCGCTGATTAATGTTTGCGAGTTGTTCTACAGTCGTTCTACACAGTCGAGTCAGTCCTTGCACTGAACTTTACATGCAGTTTGCACTGTTCAAAGTTTGCGATTCGGGGCTTCTTGCAAAATTCGCAAACATTTTTACGTCGCAATAGTTACCCGTTTTACAGTACATGGTACACGGTGTGTATGCGTGTACATGTGTGTGTGTTTGTGTGTGTGTGTGTTTGGGGGGGGGGGGGGGGGGGGGGTGTATGTGCATGTTTTTGTGTACATGTATATGTAGGACTCAGTATAGAGTCCATGCACTATATGATGTCCAGCACCCTATATAGAGTCCATTGGTCCAAAATCCACTATACAGAGTCCAGGAGTCCACTCAGTTTTGATCAGCTTCATCCTGCCGCGCAATCCCCTATAAGGAGTACACTTTTTCTACAAGTCCCCTATTCACGGTCCAGGAGTCCAGTTTATCCAGTCACGCCGTCCTGTGTGTTGTGCCCGAAAGAGAAAACACCTTTTCAGTTTTGCTTGCCTCATGGCAGCGCATTCCTTTCTTCACTTCAGCCATGACTGCCAGTTCTGCTGTGCAGTTGCTGACAGTGATCTGTCTCGAGGTAACCAAGGAGGATAAGGAGACATTCAAAATCAAATCTGGAAAGCGTCTTGTGGTTCTCTGAAGACGTTTCATCCGTGCGCGGGATGAAAGCAGAAATTGGAACGAGAAAAGTTCAGCACAGTTCAAATCTGACGAGTCAGGTACACTGACGCTCTCTTTCGTTCGACGCCACAAGCATCCCCTGTTTGGCTGGCCATTGCTGCCAGGAAGGCGTTTGAACGGTCTCATCAGAGAGAGGGATGAAAGCAGAAAGCGGAGAATGAGAAAGGTTCAGCACAGGTCCAATCTGACGAGTCAGATACACTGACACTCTCTTTCGTTCGACGCCACAAGGATACCCTGTTTGACTGGACAAGAGCTGCCTGTACCACCGTGTCAAAAGGCTGTCCAACTACATGGCAGGACGATGATTGAGGTAAGGAAGCTTTTACTCGTTTCGATTGGTCTGCTGTTCTGTCGTTATGCTTGAATTTTTTTCCTTTTTCAAGGATCGTATCGCGTTTTTGTTTGATGTTGCTTGAATGAATGCCATAAAAGTAATCAACCACTTCGTAATAGTCCTCAAGGACTGCAAGGACTTTGCATCAATCGTATCCGATGGTCTAGCTATCATCAATTATTATTTCATTTCATGAGAAAAGTATTTTTATCCCTGTGATAATTATGTGAACTCCACGACACTCTTCCTCTACTACTAGGCTCTAGTATGATGTGAAATACAATGGGATCCACAAACGCAGTGCCATTGTACCGTAGTAGTAGTAGTATGTCACAAACATGATTGTGTCAGTGAAACTGCCTCGTGACAACAAATCTTTGCATTTCCATTTTGGGGAGGACTGACTGACTGCAACGCTGTACAGATTGTTTAACCCTTTGTGGGTCTTACTCAATGTATGTGAGGGGTGGTCATGCAAACACGCGTACAAACAACGAGCCATAACTCAAGTTCCGTGAGTTGTAGGTATGGGTAAACTATATATTTTCAAAATCTGTATGCCTGGACGCGTCCAGAAAACACAAATATGACTATGTCCAGGCAAGGATATGACCCGTGGTAGCCCTTCAAGTTGAGAGAAAATACAATTGCGAACAAAAAACGCACAAAAATCACAGCACGAAGTGCATACCAAGTTCGTGATGGAGCTGAAGTCCTATGATAAACAATCAGGTAAGCGCTACGTCTTGGTGAAGAATATATGCTCCTAATTCCATCCTTGAACTCCAATACCTCGCCATCGGCGATGCACCAGCAGCAACAGTTCCACAATATCACAATTTTGGTTCGTTCACCTCAGCGCCGCTCGCGTCAGATTCACTCACGCTCAGATGAGTACTCAGGCGCGATGTCACGCGTGCCGTGATTCTCACGGCCAGGCGAATCAGCTGATCGCACCTGACAAGTCCTTGTAAGAGTTGCTGTTGCTGTGCTTCCTCGCTGGTTGGTAAATTTGATTTCTTCATTCGGGGACGATTTATTTGAGTTAGGAGGACTCAACGGAGCTCTCTTTCTCACGACATTACACTGGAAATCCTCCAGGGACATCCAGCCTAGACTGGTGCCGTCAGTGTTCTCAGAAAGCTTTTCTGACACGGCTTCAAGAGATGCACTCCCATTCTCGAAATGCGCGCATGGCGGATGGTCGTCTTTTCCAATTTCACCAGACTTCAGTCGATCGATACTGCAAAAATTTGTATGGTAAGTATGGTTGTTTTTTACACCGTTGGAAAGCCTGGGACCTCAGCTACGAGTGGAGCACCATTTTAGTTGTCTCCTAGCAACAAAACTCACAGAAAATGCGATTTTACTGTAAGGGTCACATACGACCCTTACGCTTATGTGAGACCCATAAAGGGTTAAATCATCTCATTTCAATTTAGTTGCAGTGAAGTGAAACACTGTGTACACTACATGTATGGTGGTGTGTCTGTGCGTCTTGAGTGTGCACAAACAATCTTATTCCTCGTATTACTAATAGATTATTGTCCCCACCGTCACCTGTTCACAGGTCTTTGAGTGGATGGATTTTCATTGAGCATCACATTCGTTGAGAACTTGGTAGTTGTGTGCTCCCAAGCATCATTACGGTAATAAGCGTATCCTTGTGCTATCTATTTGTTGCAGGTGTGCTGATCTTCAGAAGCTTGCGGAACTGAGTGCTGCTGAACATTTGCATGGCCATGAGCAATGGTGAAGCTTGCTATTGCACTCTCAGCATGTGCTAGTATTATGCTGACTACTGCACTATGTTATTCTCTTACACTACTACATGTACATGTATGTAAACGTGCGTGCATCCGCCCACGTATGCATTCGTTTCGTATAATTATTTGTTATCCCTCTTGACTTTACGTGTAAAAGGGTGGACGTTTGCAAGGCTGTTGGAGTTGCGTGTGTATTGTGTCTCTACTCTTTTCTTGATGTTTTCTTGGCGTTGCATAAGTTTGTGTGTGTGTGTGCGCGCGCGCACAAGAATTTGAAAACAAATAATTAATCCTTGTCTCCCCATTATTCTCTTTCGATTCTTTTTTTTTTCTCGGTATTTTCTTGGCGTTGTGTGTGTGTGTGCATGTGTGTGTGTGTGCGTGCACAATAATTTGGCAACAATACATGATTGAGATAATTTGCAGCGTCTGCGAAGAGACCACTAGATTTGAGGATGGTGTTTGTAGGGTTTTTCATGTAATGAAGTGGATGCAGTGGCGCCTCAATACTTATTTTTTATCTTGAGAAGGGAATGATGTAAAGGATTAAAGGGAGAGGCCGTTTTCTGGTTAATATTCACTGCTTACAGCAGATCCTATGTCTAATTTCAAACTCTGGATAGGGGATGCCTATATGGCTGGACTTTATACAGGGAGTGTTGTCCACATAAAGACTCTTAATAGTTGATTTCAAAGTTTGGACTCCATACAGTTGATTTTGGACCAATGGACTCTATATAGGGGTGAAGCCAATTGGCTGGATTCTATAGAGGGAGTGATGTCCATCTACACTTTGAGCTCACAGTTGATTCCAAGTTTGGACTCTGTACAGTGGATTTTGGACCAATGGAATCTCTATTATAGGGGTTGGACATCATATAGGGGCTGGATGCTCTACTGAGTCCAACATATATATTAGGGCTGAAACGATTATATCGGTTATCCGTCTAATTGATCATAAAGCGGGATTCACAGAAGCATTTTTGCGATGCGACACACGATGTGACGGCCGCGAAACCGGGAAATCCCCTAATCGCAGTCATCTCGCAGCCCACGCAATTGCCGCAACTGGGCCATCGCAAAAGTTGAACTCGGCTCAACTTTTGCGCTGCGACAAACGATTTGGTGTACGATTTTGACGTTTTCTACAGCAAAGTTGTACAAAGGTTCAAGAGTTGCCCGTAAATTTGTACAAGTTGTACCAAACCGCGCGAATACCATGGTACGTAGCCACCTGCATTGAACTTCGCGACAAATCAGCAAGGTATCGTCGCATCTCAGACTTCCTCTGTGAATGGTATTTCGCGAGTTCGCATCACACGCCTTCGTCGCAGATCGCGTCTCATCGCCCATCGCATCGCAAAAAAAGCTTCTGTGAATCCCGCTTTACAACGAAGCGATTTCGATTATGCTGTCTATTTCGATTATGCGATTCTAAAAAAAATAAAAAATAAAAAAATAAAAAAATAAAAAAACGTGTAAAAGATGTCATGCACATGACTGTACTACGTAGTAGTAGGATCCGATAATGTTACGTACATAAGTCACCGGAGGATGTACCC